TGTGGAGCAATTAGTGGAACGAATATCGGCAGGGGAAACCGAAGTACTCGGAGAAACCCTGCCCCAGCACAACTTTGTCCACCACAAATCTCACTTGACCAGACCCGGGATCGAACCCGGGCCGCCGCGGTGGGAAGCCAGCCACTAACCGCTTGAGCTATGGCGCGGCATTAGTTTGTTTATAGTATAAAAGGTAAAAGGGTAAAGCTATCCATGTAACAGGCCATGGAGGCCCATAGGGTTGTGAGACGTTGACGGTGCCATGTTATCTAGACCAGTGGTTCTCAACGTTTATGAGACCACGGCCCAGTAAGTTCTTTCTTTATAAGACGAGGGCCCAGTCCCAACAAATTTACTCGTAAATACCTTTCCAGTTTTGTTAAAGTTCATGCATTAAGCTAACTATAAAATATTTATTCATGAAAAATGCTTAGAAAATGAAAATGACAAATTCCAGAAGAGCCTCTCGCAGCCCAGTATAATTGATGCCAGGGCCCACTACTGGGCCGCGGCCCGGCGGTTGAGAAGCACTGATCTAGACAGTCGGCTAATAGATGGCGGTAAGATAGTCAGCCTTACACACGGGCCAGCCTCTCCGGGAAGATTCCTGGTATTCATTTCCTTTAGAGGCTGAGTCGACCCCAGGGCTGAAAGGATTAGGTCAATTGAAAAAATCCAGTGACCTCATCGGGGCTTGAACCCGCTTATAGCATAATGCCTCAACCAACTACGCTACCGCGTGCCCCTAGTGTATAGTACACTTATCTGCATACCCTAATCAATTCAGTTATTGGCACAGTGCGGAACCATCCTCTCGGAGATTCACCCATCCCTATAAATCCAGGGCAAGGAAGAGGGTGATGGTATTCTGCACAGTACTAGAGCCCGGTGGATGCTTTATGTACGACATGCTTTGACGTTTAAGAAATTCTGTATTTTGCCCACGGAGTGTTTTGTACGATTCTCAGAATAAAAGCCGATTATTTCCACAAACTGGATAGTCTTTATACTGTGGATGCAACGTGTTTCCTGTGAGGTAAGAACTGAAGGTGTGATGCCTTCGCAGGTACGCGTGGCGTGGTGTAGTTGCGTTTGTTGTGAGGACTGACATAAACAAACATGTCTGCTGCCGGGGAGCGTGGGTTTGAGGTGGAGCAGAAATCAGAGGTCGCTGGCGGTGAGAGGTGGCTGCGTAAGTTCATGATCTGGTGCCTCGCTGGTAAAGCAATCCGAAATGTCGACGAAACGCGTCCAACTTGCATTTTATTTGTATTGTCTGAGTATGATCTGTTTCCGGGAAACACCACGCCGTGTTGTTCCAACGAACTGTGTGGAGGAAAGTCCTATAAGAGGTAACGGTTGCTCAGTTGGTCAAGGAATTACCCGCCATTCATAAAACCCAAAGGTTCCTCACCGTGTTCACAAGAGCCCGACACTGGTCACTGTCCTGAGTCAGATAAATTATGTTCCTTGAAGATCCGATTG